GGAAGTTAGACTGCAAATTTTTTATTTTATTTTATTTTACAAAAGTTTATTTTTACATCATTTTGTACATTTTTTTTTCCATCTCAATTGTAATCCCCGCGGGTTTCCCATCACCAAGTCACCTGTGTGCCATCACCATAATCCCGTGCATTTCCCTCCCCACCCCCTGTTTTTGATCCCATTCCCCACTCCACCCCCACAAACTGTCTTTGGTATATGACTGCTCATTATTCTTGTTATTTCCTCGCCTGGTCCATTATACTCCTGCTATGAGTGAAACCATCCAGTATTTTTCTTTCTCTTTCTGGCTTATCTCACTAAGCATGATCTTTTCCAGCTCCATCCAAGTTGCTGCAAAAGACATGTGTTTCTCTTTTTTGGTTGCTGAGTAATACTCCATTGTGTATATGTACCACATCTTTTTTATGCATAGACTGCAAATTTTTTTTTTAAAGATTTATTTATTTATTTGTGCATACAGAACTGGGGTACAGGCCAGAGGCTCAGGGGCGGTGAGAGGCTTCACCAGAGACAGAGTGGGGAGCAGAACAGGCAGATCGACGAAGTACACTGCTGAGGGGAGCAGCGGGCGGGTCAGGAGAGGTCTGGCTCGCCATGTGGTCTCCTCCGGGGCAGGCGGGAATCGAACTCATGCGGAAGTGGCTTCAGATTCTCAGTGCTGCGCTTTAACCCGCTGCGCCACCAGGGAGGGCCCAGACTGCAAATTTTTTGATGGGGAGTGGAAATATGGTTGGTTTTCACATTCCAGATAAAACTGGAATATTTTCCTGTTTTAAAACCACTGCTTAGTGTAGTCGACAAGATCAGAAAGTGACTTGATTAAATTGGGGGGGAGGGGAATGTTGTTAGCTTACTGATTTTTTTTCCTTAAGGTTTTTGTTTATTTTGCTTTCATGGGTGTAATCATTGTATGTTCTAATGATTGTTATGTTAGCTCATTACAGAGATATTCAAGATGTTCAGGACATTTTAAAATTCAGAGTATTTTTTCATCCTAAAACACATGTACTATGTCTACATATGAACTAAACATAAGAAATCCAAGTATAATTTTTCAAAATCACATCACTCAGTATGATAGTGGGCAGATTGAGGAGTACCCTCTAACTCCCAAACCTACATGCTCTAAATGGGCTTTGCCATTTGCTGCGTAAGGACAAAACATACTCTTGGTGCATAGGAACCTAAAAAGAAAAGAACTTTAATACAACGAGTGTGCAATAGAGAGAAGAGCAAGAATACAGTTCCCAAATATAGTTACCCATCCCCTCATGGGGAAATACTCAGCCCAATAGGGTTGGCCCACGTGGGGCCATTGAGGCCCAAGAGCTTGCCACCCAAGTCAAAGGTACCTTTTTGTGGGGACCCATAGGAAAGGGGTAAAATAGCCAGGCACGTTGGGAAGCAAAAGAGCAAAATCAAAACCCAGGTTAACACAGACTGCTATTGTCAGCCTCCCTTGGGTCTCACACCCAGGTCTCCTTCAAGTGTCTTGTTGCATGTTTTCCCAGTTTCTGGTACAAATCCGAGGCTGAGAAGCAATTGCAGCTGCTCCTTCATATGTCTGTGTTCACATGCTTCCTCCAGGTCTTCTCCCCGCTCCTCTTCTACCAGCCTGTGCCCCTAAATCCTTTTTAGCTTCCCCTTGCTGCTCAGCTCCTTAGGAGGGGCAGGGAAGTTGGTACTTACCCTTTCTATGGGGCTCACACTGTTAAAAGTATCCCTTACATTTACTTCCACTGTGTTTACCATTTTCAAAGTTGAAGTACAGGTCCTCCTTGGTGGCACAGGGGTTAATGTCTCAGTGCTATCAAGCTGTTGCCAGCCACTGCAGCATGAGTTCAATCCCTGGCCTGGGAGCTGACCCACAGGATGCACAACTCTCCCCTCTGGCTTGCTGCTCTCCTCAGCAGTATATTCCAATAGATCTGCCTGTTGTGCTCCCTGCTCTGTCTCTGGTTAATCCTCTCAACCCCTACACCTCTGGCCTATACCCCAGTTCCTGTATACATAAATAAAAATAAATCTTTAAAAGAAGTACAGTAGGCTTTTTCTGAAAAACCAGTTTCTTTCTTTCTAACAGGGTTCAGATCATCAGTGATAGTTGTTTGCTTAAATGTGGCCATATACAGGACCTCCCTGGTGGTGCAGCAGGTTAAAGCCCAGCACTATGAACTAAAAGCCACTTCAGCACGAGTTCAATTCCTGGCCCTGGAGATGGTCCTACATGGCTTGGCAGACCTCTCCTGGCCTGCCCACTGCTCCACTCAGCAGTGTACTTCATTTATTTGCCTGTTCTGCCCTGTTCTCTGTCTCTGGTGAATCCTCTCACTGCCCCTGCACCTCTGCCCTGTACCCCAGTTCTGTGTGCATCAATAAATAATAAATCATTTTTTAAAATGGCCATATACAAAGACTTGCTGAGTTGAAGCTATAGTCACATTTATCCTGGAGATTAGTTTCACTGAGTGTTTAACTCCTCTCTAGCTGAAGACCCTATAGGTGGGAAGCCAGAGGGCAGAGAAGCTCAGAAAAGTCTGCAGCTGCAGTGAACAAACACACAATTCTAACTCAAACTGGGTCCTCTCAGCAGACCACATTGTGGTTGTGGGTGCAGTGAGTGTCAGGGACATCTATTCTTGATGGTTTTACAGCATTGTAAACAGCGCTGCTTGGAGTTCTCTGCTAGTTACTCTGAAGCTTATTTGAATTGTGCATTCATGAGGTAAATGAATCTGATTTTCAAAATGAGTCATTTTTTGAACTTTGACCTGGAGAGTCACCTCAAACCATTCAAACTTTCAGAGGTACAGGTGCCAGTAAGGATTTTGCTAGAGTGAAAACACATTCTTTCACTGAAACCCCAGCTTCCTTTAAAAAAAAGCCAAGGAGCTCTGAGTGTCACACTGCCATTCAGGCTTTGCTTGATTCTTTCCATCACCCCAGACCAAAGGGGTAAAAAAGAAATTCCACAACTTTTGTCTTTATATTTACGAGTTACCACATGGGTTGGAACCTTCCTAGCTTTTCCTGAAACTTCCTTGGTATGGGCCAGATAAATCCACTTTAACACACAGAGTTGGCTGGAAGATAAATGTGAGATGCTAATTTCCATTCATTGCTTAAAAAAAGATATTTATCCATTTTTTCAGTTACTGCATTAAAAAGATGAAGGACATGTCCAATTTAGAGAAAATTTCAACTTTTGAGACAAACAGTAGGGGGGCCTGAGACCCACAGTTCTAGAACAATCAATTACCAATGTTTATTGAACACCTTTTTGCATAAGTTTGTTGAGGAGGTTCAAAAGTCTGAGATATAATCATGCCATCAAATCTACGGTCTAGTTGGGTAGGCAAGCCCAAACTCGGGGAACAATGCCAGAGTTAAATATTAAGTCTAGACAAATATGCCTGCAGGCAATAAAGCAAGGTCTTGTGAGGGTGGGCTCACTCAAATGTTCAGGCAATATATTCTTAATGGTTCAGACAAACCCTGGCAAATGTTCACAAAGAAAGTACACAAGGGGCTGGGATTGAAAACACAGATAAGAATCAGACCTGAAGGGGAAGCGAAAAGCAAATACAAATAATCCTGGACGTTTGGTTTTACAGTGGGGAGCCGGAGAGGCTAGAAGATTGGGAAGGGGTTTATTCTTGGAGATCCAAGGTATGGGATTCCTTTCCCCCCAATTTTTTTCCCCTTCAAATATTATAACAGCATACGACACTCCCAAACGCTAGGTAGTAAGGTGACAATTAGCTCCCACTCCCAAGGGTTGGGGGCCCTGAAGTTGTCTTTGTGGGGGTGGAGTCCACGAAGGGGCAAGGAGAGAGCCAGGTGGTTCAGCCCCCTCCGCAGGCTTTTGTGAATACTGCTTAGCTCGCGGGTCTGCTCTAGGATTAAAGGAGGTTCCGCCGCGTTTGAACGACAATTTCCAGGGCGCTCCACAGATCTAATATCCGAGACTGCAAACGGTGGCAGCCGAGCGCCCACTGCGCGCCCCCCAAAAGTGTGTTCTCACCATATGCGTAATGTTTACAGGTTTCGTCTACCTCCCGCTCACT